TCTGTCTCAAATAAATAAATAAAATCTTTAAAAAAAAAAAACTAAACCTTACTATAGGTACCACCATACATTTTGATAAGTCACCAAAAAAGAAAAAAAAAAGTCAAAGTATAAATTTGGTTTCCTAGCCAGAGAGAAAAACAGAAAAATCCTTTTTATGAGTTATAAAACCTTAGTATCAGAACCTTTTGAATCTGTGTTTATTACCTTAAATACCAATCATGACACCGAGTTACCAAGATCTGAGTAGAGGGCATTAAAAAATGGTTGAAATAGGACCTGGAAGAGCTATATTGTAGGCTATAATCTGAATGATAATCAAATACCCTCTCTCACTCCATCCCTCCAATAATTTGAAACATGTCAGTTACATTGGTAAACAAACAAAATCAATAAAATGAAGACTCTCCACTTTACCTCCACTATGCCTAGAGGAATCTGTAAGGACCACTCCAAAATTGTCCACAGCCTCTGAAACAACAGGGCGCCGAGGGATGCCCATGGGGGGAGAGGAAGCCTGCGTGTTTTTTGACGAGGTTGTTTTCTCTGGAAAAGTTAGAAGACGTACACTCATCTAATGCAACATAAACTTCTGTGTATATATAGAGTAAGAAAAGATACTATAAAACTCAACTGGTATATAGATATAAGAGCTTCTCTGTTACAGTGTCTAAATTTAAGACCTACATTGCAAATACTTAGCTCATCTGAGGAATTGAACTTGAAAAATTACTTTGTCTTTTTCTAGTAGCTTTAAGGGAAAACTAAAAGGTGTCTTTCTTCACCAGGCTAACTTTCATTTACACAGAGAATAAACACCACAGTGAAAAAAGCCAAATGACTAGAGTAAAGGCTTTCAAACGATCCACCCATTTTTCTTCTACCTATTTCTTAATTCTAAAACATAAAATTCATGCTTAAAGAGCTTCTGTTTCTTTATGGGAAAATTATTATGTTGAGTTTTAAAATTCCAAGAGGCAAAAAGTGAAAATGAGTGATTATTGTTTTAAAACTGAAATACATGCTTATTATTCAGTATTTATAGGTCAGATTCTATAAACAACTGTGGACTAATTATGAAAACTCAAAATACAGTTCAAATAAGAAAAAAAAAGAAAAAAATACAGTTCAAATAAGAAATATTCATTATTTTTCTAGCTAGACTCAATAATTAGTATGAAAGGGTCTTTTCCAAAAGCCAATAAATTTATTCTCGATCATACCTCCTTTTTATTTTCGTGCCATACTAAAATACTCCTCTGTCCCGTTCCCCTCTCTACTCACTGGTCTTTTCGTCCATTTATGCCTAAGCTATAATGGCATCTTTTCAATCAAGCCTACCCTCAACAAGCTACCCCACAGAAAGAACATCCTTTCTTTGTACTCCCCTGGCCTCTTCTAAGTCTTTTACTTGTCATATTTTTGGCTTCTTTGCTGACACCTTTGCCCTCCTCCACTCTATCCTTACCCTACAGCTGGAGTCCCCCGTTGAAACATACAGTAGGGTATGACAGTGTCACAACTCAGCTCAAACCTTGCAATGCTTCCAGCTCACTCAGAGTCAAAGTCAATGTCCTTGCAGGGTCGACAAGGCACCATGTGGTTTGGCCACTCTGTCATCTCCCTGAGCTTTCTCCCCTACAGCATCCTCACTTTGCTTCTGTCACAGTGGCCCCCTCAGTGTGTCTAGGGTACATCAAGCACACCCTACCCCGGGGTCTCTGCACTTAATAATCTATCAGCTGGGATGTTCTTTCCCCAGATATCCATGTGGTTTTCTACTTCACCCTGGACATTCTGCTCACTGTTGACTGCTCACTGAGGACTTCTCTGGCCACCTTGCTTAAATTGTGTCAACTGCTACCCCATCCACTTCCTATATCCATCCCCTAATTTATTTCTCTTATCAGCATGCATCACTTTTTAATGTACTTATAACTTAGGTGTAAGTCTCTCCCAACTAGAATGTGAGCTCCATGAGGGCAAGGAGTTTTGTTGATTTTGTATACTGCCCAGCACATAAAAGGCATTCAGTAAATATTAGCAGAACTGAAATCCTGCCTTGTAGTTGGTATTTATCTATATGTCTTACCCTCCTTAGCAAAGCAGAAGCACCATTAGGATGGGTCTTGTCTTGATCATCTTTGTTTTCCCTGCATCACCTACCCTACCTAATGCCTTACGTATCATAAACTCTCATGAGTATTTGTAGAACATTGGATGGGATGGAATAATACAACATGCATGGCCAAAAAAGGTACGATAATAAAATTATTTAGTGAATTTATATATAAGAATCTCTACGACCCAAAAGGACACTTAACTAATGAAGTGACATCAAGTCAGCCAGCTCACTCCTCTTAAGGAAGGTGATACTCACCTTTGCTGGTTCGGAAGGTGAGCATGGCAGGCTGCCCTTCACCTGCTGCACTTCTTGCGACCATCAAAACTTCATAGAGACTAGAGGGCTCCAGTTCAGTTAAATGGAGCTCATTTTCACTTCCTGGGACTCGAACCGTGTGCCAGCTTCCCACCAGGCCAACACCATCATCTAGCTACTCAAGAGAAAATAAGCCATTAAAAAAAAAAAAGAAAGAAAAGAAGATTCAGGGCACAAAAACCTTCCATTCAAATTTGAGAAAATCAATTTCAGATGAATTTTGGTATGAAATATACCCTTGGAAGTCAAAGAGACATAATATCTCTTCATGCTAAAAAATAGGAGACCTATAGCAAGAACTTAGGAATTCTTACGAATAAAAAAACTCCTAGTTCTGCTACTTACCATTAACTTACGGCCTCAAGCAAGTTATCTGATCTCCCAGAGTTTGCTTCCTTTACTAGTAAAGGAAACAATTATCCTTTCTTACCGGGCTAAGAGGAGCATAAAATAAGTATATAATAATCTGTATTAATGATAATATATAATAGAGTATGTATGCACATATGAATTCTATAATTATCCATTATCTATTTTCAGCATTCTTCATGTCTTGACACTTTCCACATGTATTACAGGAAATACATTTTAAAAAGATCCTATCTGCTGTGTCTTAGTTAATGGAACCAGGAAATAGTATCACATGGAAGTTTTTGTGTGGGTTAAGAATCCCAGTGAAAGTTTCTTCACCTGGAATCATCAGGTTAGAAACAGTGAATAAACTTTCAAATATCACCATGTTAGTTTTTCCAGATATTAAAAATATTACTATTCAATGATGGGTACCAAAATGGCTTGGACAAAGAAAAGTATTTTAAATATGAGGGCATCTTTGGTTTATTTACTAGTCTCATTAAACAAAGAGAGCAGATTTTCTCATTTTGCTTTAATACAAGCCTCTGGCAGGATAAACACTGAAAAATCAACTGAGAGGATCAGGTTCACCCAAATAAATCACCAAACAACATCAGATTTCAATACAATGAAGAAGGACAACTTGAAATAAAAATAACCGTCAGAGATTACGCCAGAGGACTTGTTCGGGGTTTCTAATAAGAAACTGCTTTATTTGCTAAATAAACTGTATTTTACTAATCTCAGAAAGGGAAGGGATGACTTTTTAAAAAGTGGTTTCTAGAGCTTTACACCCAAGTGGTTAAAATGTTTGATAAAAAATGTCAGGAAGTCACTGGGCTCTTTGAATTCCGATTTTGGGGGAAATTATGTAAACTTTATTCTTACTGCTTTTATAAGACTGGTAAATCCAGCAAGACTGCTGGGATAGCTCTCCCAAACTCACAGTCCTAGAACACTCCTGTTCTGTTTCCTGCTGTTCCATAAATGTCAAAGATAATAAGCATGGGTTACACAACACAATGTTAAGGCATGCAAAGAGAAAGCTGGTAAATGAAAAGACATTACCTTTCGATACTTCACGAAATAGGCATTGATGGGCAGTCCGCCATCCTTCCCCGCCCTCCAGACCAGGTGGTATGTATCAGCTGTGTAGGTCTGCGGAGGGCTCAGAATGATGGGGGCATCAGGGACCGAGGCAGCACTAGCATTTTTCTCTGGTGCTGAGTCCACTGCACTAGAGTGTTCCTTCACTGGAAAGGAGCTCAATAATCGAGCTTCTGAACCATCTCTTTTATCATTCTGAGTGGGATTGGAAGCTGTGACCATTTCCGCTTTTGTATTTGTTTCAAAAGGAACTGCAGAGGATGGGAGAAAGAGAGAAGAGGGAGCTTGAGGAAATTCATTATTTTTTTTCAGTGCATTTTCTACACAGTGATCTAAATGCCCACACGGATACTGACAATCGGAGCCCAAGAACTGAAAACAGGTAACATTTCAATTTGTAATTCACGGAAACATCTAACCTCCAGGAGCAACCTCTTACTGAAAAATCAATTACATGATGCAGTAGTTGAGTGACTTGAAGGATGTTATTTTTCCTTGCTCTACACTAGTATTCCCTTTTTACAACAATTTGCTAGTTTAACCTCGGAAGATTTTAAGTTGAAGAACACAGAGCGTTAACTCCAGTTGGTAATGAAACAATGCATTCCCTTGGGGACAAGGTGAACCAAATAGTAAGCAAACAGTCAAGAGTTAGGCTATTACCTACTGGGCAGCCAGTCTCCAAAGACAGCCCCTCAGTATTCACACCCTCGGGCAGGCCCCTCCCCGCTAAATCAGGGCTGGCCCCAGGACCGGCTTTAACCAATGGAAGGCAGAAGTAAGACGGTGCTCTTCCAGCCGTGAGTCTTAAGAAGGCTTGGCACTACTACTCCCTGTGTTGCCCCATAGAGACAGCCAAGCGAGCCATGCAGAGAGACTACAGGGGTGTGGGGGGATGGAGGGAAGGAAGGGGAGGCAGGTGGGGATTCCAGCCTTCACAAAAGCACCACACATATAGGAGTGAAGCCACTTTGGCTGTTCCAGCCCCAGGTGCCATCTGACTGCAACAGCATAGGAGAGCCAAAGCAAGGCCAGCAGAATTGCTTAGCTGCATCAGGTCAACCCACAGAACTGTAAGAGATAATAGAGGGGCTGTCGCAGGGGCGCCTAGGTGGATCCACTGGTTAAGTGTCCAACTCTTGGTTTCAGCTCAGGTCATGATCGCGGGGTCATGATCTCAGGGTCGTGAGATCGAACCCTGCGTTGGGCTCCACTCTCAGTGGGAAGTCTGCTTCTGTCCCTCTGCACCCCCCCCCCAATGCTCACTGGCTCGCTCTCTCTCTCTCAAATAAATAAATCTTAAAAAATAAATAAATAAAGGGGCTGTTGGATAACTAAAATACTTACCCTACACAAGCAAAACAATTTATATTCAACAAGAGGAAAGAAACAAAATAAGACTAGCAAAGATAAAAGAAGAATTTACTTATTTCCAAAGCAAGCCCTCTTTCTGGATAGAATCAAAGGTTGGCTTAAGAAACTGCCATTCTAGTAAATAAAATAAAGAAACAAATAAAAGAAAAAGAAACTGCCAATCTAAAGAAAAATAAAACAAGCCCACAGTCTTAATACGACTAAAAGCATCCAGAACATCCAGAGAAGGCACAAATACTTCTATTTGCACTGAAAAAATAAATACGTTGCATGTATCCCCTCACCCCCCCAAAAATTTACTGAGCACATATTATGTGCCAAGCATTGTGCTAGACATTTAATGAATATGATCTCATTAAATTCTCAAAACAACATTCTTAGGTAGATAGCACCACTTCTACTTTACAGATGAAGAAATTAGGGTTCTGGGAGATGGTGAAAAGAGGTGGCCGAAGAATGTTAGTGGCGCCGCTGCCAAAAATGAGAAAGCAGTCTAGGAAAACAAATATGCCGCCGGCACCATGAAACCGAAGTACTGATGGCTTGCTTTCTCTACAGTGCTATTCATACTGGCGACAAAAAGATCTCCTATTTTTGACCACTTGTGTGGAGGAAGGGAGCAGGGGAAACAATGTGAAAGCGTTTCTTTTGCACAATGAAGTCAGATTCCTGGTTTAAAAAAAAAAAAAAAAGGTGGGTGTGTTTTTCCAACAATCACCACAGTTTAGGAGAAGCAGCAAAAAAACCAAACCAAAACAAAACAAAACAAAAAGAGAAAAGGTGTCCCAGACGCGTCCTCCTCTAAAGAAAATAAAACGCCAGTGAGAAATCATATAGGAGAAAATGAATTAAGTTCACTGAGACAAACTTCCAAAATATTGCTCCTGGAGCTGCCGTGTTTACCTAGTGAGTCAGAATGTGGGCTGGCCGTGAAGGGTGTGAGCTGGT